CACACAGACAGTGCGCCCAAACTACAAATACTTATTTTCAGGTAGATTTGTAAGGGGAAATTAATTCAAGGGGGATAGTTTCCTATAGAACCCATTGAATTGGATACTGGAAATATTTATTTAGAATAAATGATAATCATGGTATAATATATACAATGAAGCGCAGTCAGTATTACTTCATTGAAAGAGCAGTTACTACACTAGTTTTCATGACTCCGAGGGGCATCACTCAGGTGGAATTCAGAAGTGCCCTGATTCTGTTCTCATGTCTTCATCGGAGCTGAACTCCTTGTGTCCTGTACCAAGCTGTATAGGAGTTGATGTGGCACTCTTTAAGCAAAGCAAATAAAATCGAAAAGCGTTTAGTGATTAGCAATAAAATAATGCCATACCCAATTCTAAAATATGTTCAAATGAGAGAGTTTGTGATAAGGATGAGAAAACTGAATCACTTTACACAAAAATAAAAAGAACTGACTGGCCTCATAAATAACTTTTACTTGGGATCCAGACTTTTTCTCTTACAACCCGATCTTAACTTCTTGTGGTATCTATAAGAGATCAGGCACTTGCTAAGAATCTCAACCTGCTAGGTATTTCAGCGAGCCCACTGAGATGCCAGGTCTGCCAGGCTCAGGAGAGATTTGCATCAGCAGCTGAGTAAGGGGAGGAGCCTGAATCTGGGGTGGGGCCACCACAGCTTGTTAGATGACACACTGAGATCTGGGTTTGATATCGAGGCTTCATTATATAACTTACAATACTTTAATAAATTTGCCATTTTAGCTGTTGGTCTATGAAGCTATTTCTTTCTGATACCTTGATTTTTAATGCTGCTGCAAATATATGGCAAAACCAACCAAAAATGCTTGGATTTGAAAAACACCAAGTGATGGAAAGGGAATGACACTTTTAAATGTTTCTTATAGAAATCGTTCTCATTATTTCAAAATTGTGCCATCCATAGTGACTTACAGAAGCTATGATATAAACTCTGCTGATAACTAAGAAAATAGGGAAAGGAAAATGCTATAATAAGACTCTCACGCCAACATGCATGACATAACCTGGTAAATATAACATTAAATAGCTTTCCCAAAACTTCTGTGGGTTACAACTGTTAGCACTATAAATGTAGTCAATCTTTTCAACTCTTTGTTGGGCTGTTCTCCTCTAAGAACCCAGAGCACCCATACTCCTGGCACATGTTTACTTCTAACTGCTTGAGTGTGCTCTACTGGAGGTCTGAGTCATCTCTGGTTACATCAGCTGAAAAAAAAAAAAAAAAACCAGAAATTTACTGTCTCTTAGTCCTGGCGACTACATGTCTGAGATCATGGTTTCAGCAGAGTTGGTTCCTTCTGAGAGATATGAGAATCTGTTTCATGACTCTCTCCCGACTCTTGTCAGTTTGACAATCTTCGGTGTTCCTTGGCTAGTACACGTGTCACCCTGATCTGCCTTCATCATGTGGCATTCTCCCTGTGTGCATATCTGTGTCCAGATTTCCCTTTGTTGTAAAGATAGCAGTCATATTGGATTAGGGGCCCACCCTACTCCAGTATAACCTCATCTTAACTAATTACATCTCCAATAACCCTATTTCCAAAAAGAAATAAAATACTGCATGTTAGAACTTCAACATACAAATTTCGAAGGGACATAATTCAACCACTAAGACCAGTCTTGCCTTTCCTTACTTTATTTTCTAATTATATATAACATTTCTCTATTCCATGTACTTCCTAATCTCAATTTTCTTCTAATTTAGATAGCTCTCACAGTTTATTTTAAACTTCTGCTAGTTCTTCAAATGATAGGAAAAGTATGACCCTGTGGACTTTTATCTTGTTGGAGGTCTTTCAGTGTACTAGCTATTTTTGGCTTTATGATCTCTAAACAGTACTGTGTACATAAACAAGCAGTATATTTTGTTGACTGAATGCTTAAAGAAACAGATGGCATGGGTTGGAAGTTCCCAATCCAAGACGGTTAGAGATCACTTTGCACACTGAAGCTGAATGTCCAAAACAATTCCTTAAAGTACTCAGGTCCTCTTAAAACAAGAAGCAGGAAACTGAAAGCAACTAGAAATTCTAAGAACTGCAAAATGTATGTATCTTCTGCTTCATTCTTTTATCCGTTGTGAAAGTTATTCACTGATAAAGAATGCAGTATCATTTATTTTTTAAATTAAATCTATTTTTGATTTGTCTAGCAGGATTAAGAAAATGTCATGTGTTTTATGATGTATATTCCACCAGAATGCTAACTCCATGAGTACAGGGCCTTAACTCACTGTCCTATCTCCAAGAGTTAGAACAGTACTTGTCACAAAGAAGGATCCCAATAAGTATTTGATAATTTCTTTATTGTGCTTCCTCTATTCTGTTTTGTTTGCTCAACTAAATCTCAGCGAGATCTTCTCCCCGTATCCGATCGAACACCCCTACCACACACACATCTCTCGTGGTGCCATGTTCCCGACCTTCACATCACCTAAGGACCTCTACACAGGCATCAAAGCCCGAAGCCAACAGCCATTTCCTCCCACTGTGCCAACGAAGGCGTATGATACAACGGTTTTGAAGACGAGAGGTAAAACAGGATTTTAAATCAGAATAGTATTAATTCTTCTTGTGCAAAGGACTCAAGTCATAGAAGTGTGACCTGTTAGGAAAGTTGTTAGGAAAGTTGTTCTCAACTGTGGCTGCACTTTAGACTCAGCTGACCTCACCACAGACCAATTAGATCAGATTATTTGCAGATGCTCTTTTCTTCTTTATACAGAGGGTCCCATGGTAGAATCAGAAAGCAAACATTGTAGAATTGGTTGTTTTTATTCTACTTGTTATTTTCTGTTTCTATTTCCTTCCCGCTCTCTCCTATGGTTTAGCTTTTAAAAATTCCACCGCAGCTTATACGATCAGCACAGGGGACAATGGCTGGTTCCGAGCACCAGAGTCTGGACATGGATGTAGCGGTTGTGATGACAGTGAAAGATCCTCACTGAAATAAGACTCGGAAAGTAATGGAAGCAGTTTGTTCAGGTCCTCTTAACACCCTGGAGCATTTTCTCACAGATGCAAACATTGGGGTCTTCTCAGATGTGTTTTATTACAGAAGATGGTAGGCCTTTACACTAGTCATCTCAAAATAGAGAATCCTATGGAGAAAGACTGAAGGTGACTGAAGGTGACAGAAAAGGCACAGGGGAGGCAGAGAGAGATATTTGCTGAATGAATTCAGGCTGTGAGGTTAGACCCAAGCACTGTCTTATAACGCAGGTTCTCTGTACATGAATAGTTGAACCCAAGTGTAAGAACAGAATACTGCCGCCAGCACTATGAGCCTCGCCACCTTATGAGAGCAGCATGTTGACAGGGCTACAGCGGCATGTTTCAGAGCATGCGCATGAGGTCAGACTGCGTGGGTAGAATTCTGGCTCTGCCACTTACTCACTACGGACCACGGGAAAGTATCTTCATTTCTCTGTCTCCACTTCCCAATCCATAAAATGGGAATATTAGTGCCTACTTCACAGATAACAGAGATGTGTTAGCAGTTACTATTTTTACTACTCTGCTGCCATATAATGATTCCAGTATGTAGGCAGCATGTCGAACTTTTCTATTACCTCTCAGTCCAGTCAGCGCTAACAACAGGTAGTCAAAGTTGTATAAAATACATGCATCTACAGCATCTACAGGTAGGTACCCATACATGCATATGTGTGTATGTACCTATCATTTAGTGTCCAGCGCTATGCCTAGTTATATTGGGGAAGCTGGGGGTGGGGGGCCGGCACTGTGCTCCTGCTGCTATGAGCACTGGGGTTAGAGTCATCCTCACTCTCTGTGGCCCACACGCTGCTCATTAAGGGGGCAAGAAGTCAAACCAAGATATAACTGCACAGCTAAAATGTGCACCTGCATCCCTCTCCACCTCATGTTATTTCTATTTATTGTACCCATAAATCCCATTAATTAGAAGGCTGTTCTTGTACATTCAGGATAACAGTGCTTTTCCTGAAAATTTCAGGTAATCCTTACAGATATGAACTAATTGATATTCCCATGGATTCAAAGAAGAAAGGCTTGGTTTGGCCAGGTCAGAGTGTATATTATGACGTAAGTATCTTCTTAAATGTGCATTTAAAACAAAGTAAAAAATGTTTTTACTCTATACATTTATAAAAATCCAACAGGTACTGCTTTTACATTCTATCTGGGTGAAAACTTTGAGATTTTGACTATGATTCACATTTTTTTGTTGTTTTCTTAGCCGATTTCATATACTTTTGGCAATTTATAACATTTCCACAGTTACAGAAAAAAGGTTCCTCCCAAAAGGTGGAGGAGGATTGTACTTCACTCACTGTATGTCCCCAACTCTATTCCTATGATTCTTAATATATCAAATAAATCCACATATGCATAGAGCAAATGGGACATTTTCAGAAAGATCTGCAATTTATTGTCCCAAACTTGCGTAGGATCAAAAATAAAATACAACAATAGCTACTGTTTATGAGAAACTGATACACACTAACCACTTTAGACTCCGTATGTCATTTAGCCCTTACAATACGCTCATATGGTTAGTATCACCATCCCTGTTTTATAGAGGAGGAAACTGAGGCTCAGAAGTCAGGCTCGTGAGACTGATTTAAAGTCTGCTCTTAACATCCATACCATGATTCCACATGCATAAAAAGAGAAAATTTTAAGTCACGAAGGAAAATATCTAGAAATTTGAAAATAATAATAGCTACCATTCATTGGCCATCGAGTTTGTGAGAGGCAGTGCCAAGTATTTTCCTTGGCATCGAACAATCTACGAGGTAGACAATATGTGATTATGGAGTGCTGGAAGCATTTAAATTTTACTTGCAAAGGCCATTGTGGCAGGCCAGTGTGGTCACTGCAATGTCCCACAGTCATGTATGAAGTAAGTGGTTTCCTATTTGTTTTCTGTAAAGTTATACATCAAGGAAAAATCTTTAAAAATCATCTATTTTACTGGATCTCTTTGATTCTTTCGAGCAAAATCTATATCCAAGCAACCCAGAAATATAAGAAGTGATTCTAGAGACCATTTTATCATTACATGTTCTGACAGCCAAAGTCTCCAGCTCTGAACTTTTGGTTCTTCTTCCAATTTCCTTCATTTCTACCTGTTCATGAAAATGCTCCTTTCTCCACTTCACACCCGTTTGCAACAACCTTGACTAGCTCCCTTTTACCTACGTGCAAACCTCAGTGCTCTATCTGAGCTACAAAGACCATTCGGGATCTGGCCTTTCTCTATCCCTAGAGCCGGCTCCATTCGCCAGTCTTCCAACAGGTTCACGGCCGTTTCCCGTTCCTGGAATGCCCTCCTTTCATGCCCCCTCTGCTCGCCTAAAACTTGCTTACTCTTCAAGGCTCAGCTCAACTGCCATTGTTTCTGCTGTATAACAGAAAGAGAACCAACTCAAGAGACCCATGTTCCAGTTAGTCGTCTATCTGCCATTGTTTCTAAATGATATTAGACATACTTCCTCTTCTCTGAGCTTTAATTAATAAAATATATCAGTATAATTTCAGTAAAATCTGTCCTACAAACTTCACAGGATATGAGAAGCACATTAAAGATATGGAAGCACTTTGAAAAAGTGTTATAATTTATAAAGCAATTTTATAAAAGTAATATTATTATTACTCTAACAAGTGATTTCTCCCTCTTCTATAACACTTACTAAAAATAATTTTTCACATGTATTTTATATCTTGTCAACTAAATTACAAGCTCTTTAAAAATACGTTATAATATATTCCCTCACAGCACTTTGTGCATAAATATTTTTGACTGATTTATTTGACTCTTCTTGTAATGATTAATCTCCACTTCCTAAATCTGTTCTAACCAATCTTAATTTTCAGACTTTCATTTTTCTGGCTCATCCCCAAACTTAATAAAACTTTACACTTCCCTGGACAAAGAAATAAAAATAAAGTTGATATCCAGGTTTATGGGACAACCAGAGATTCATCTTTCTTTTTTTCCTTTAGGATATACCCTGTCCTTGTCCTCCCCTGCCTTTCACCACTTAAGGAGGAAGTAGTCAAAGAGTCTTCGACTTTATCTGCAATGTTCTCTTTTTGCTAAAGGAGAATACTTTTTATAGTATCTGCCTTTCCTCTTGCTCGAGGAGTGGTTCTCAACCTTGGCTGCACATCAGAATCACCTGGGATGGCTTTTACAAATTCCCATTCCCAGGCTCTGCCCCACCCACCACAACTGATTACATAACTGTATTACTCATTTTCTGAGGGTGAATCTCATAGCAAGAAATGCTTCGTTCAAGAACTTATAACTTGTTTTATGGGCTAATTGTCTTCTCTCTCCTCCTACTCTACCCTATGCCCAGCAGAAGAGGAAGTGACACCAATAACTTGAGAAGTAGTTCTGACCATGTGTCTCCTAGTTGTAAAAGAGAAAACTCCAGGAGCCATATTTTAGTTATTTCTCATCCAAGCCAATAAGAAAATATGTATAAGATACTGGTAAAGAGTGTGAATTTTAAAGTGGCTCTAAAACTTATCAGCCGTATGACTCTGGGTAACATTTAACCCTCTGATACTTGTTTCCTCCTAGATAAAACAGGAATAATAATAAAATCTACTTGATAGGGTTGTTTTGAGAATGAAATGCATGCAAAAGCATTCAGCACCATATTAGCACATAGTAAGCTCATAATAAATGTTAGCTGTTGTCAGTATTATTGCAATAATTATAACTATTTTAAGTGCTGGGGCTTAATTCTGACAGAGTACTTTAAATGCCACTTTGCCTTCAATCTTTTACATTACATGTATATGAAGCTTGTGCCTTTGAGAATCACAGAAATCTAGGTACCTCTTTCCACCCAGACCCTAGTGCTGCCCAACCCTTCTGTCTGGTTTGCTTGGCCCAGTTTTCCCCACCGTGGTAACTAATGATCATTGCACTTGTCGCTCTAGCCAGCACCTCTCCTGCTACCATTCTCTTCCCTTAGCGATTTCTTCTCACTGGTCATTCCCATCCATTACCAAGCCAATCAGAACATTCCTTTTATAGCCAACAAACAGGTTATAATATTTGACTGTTTGGGTCTGTTTATATCATTACTTGCTCAAGTGGTCAAAGACTCTTGTCCTTTCTATTTTTCAAAAACTCAAGCATCTTAGTCTTTGCCGTGCAAAAATACTCTTTAGGATGAAATCTACCTTGTAATCACCCATTGAGTAAGATCAGATATAATCACAGAGGTCAAGTGCCATAAATCTCCCCAATCTTGGACTATTTGAAATATTTTAACAAACCATTTTCAAAACCAAACTGAGCCGACTACCCAATTTCCATAACTCTAAATACTCGGAAGACCTTTGGCCTCCCTTGGAAAGAGCAGCACTCGTGATCACCCTTATAAAGGGATGCAGTTTTCCTTCTTGAAGCATTGGCCATCTTTCCAATCTAAGGTGTCTATCCACCTCCTGCAGATACATTCATAGTCCTAGGACAGTTCTGTCTCTCCAGAATGGCACCCATAATCCATACTCATCCTCAAAGAACCATAATGAATTTGGCAAGCATGCAGACACCTCCTTTAGAAATGTGTCATCTTATCAAATAACAGGTTGTCCACAGCACCCCTCTCCATCACCACCACCACCACGAGCCGCACCATCCCCCCCTGCACACTCCCGGCAACATCCAGATGGGAAACTGGAAGACTCTCTCTTCCCTACCGCGTATGCTCTCTATTTACTGTCTTTCACCCTCCACGTTTCCTGCATCATGTCTCAGGTAGCCCTTTCCTCCTGTTGTGCATCTTCTGTCTTCAACTCTTCCTTGCGAAGTGCTTGCGTGAGCTTTCTCTCTCTCTTCCTCTCTCGCTCCTTCTCGCTGTATATATGTAGAAATACGTTTCATATGTAAATGAACAAAGTTCCTAATTGTAACTTCTTAATGTAAAAAGGGTGCTGGCACAATCGAATGCAATATGATCCAATGAAGAACCAGTGGCCTTAATGCTAAAGTCTCTCCAAAGGATGAAGTGGTCTCCACCATAAACACTTCCTTGTTCCCCTATTAAACCTGGTTAAGCCCCATCATTCAAGAGTAAAACAAAACAAACAAACAAACAAACTATAATTTTTTTGTTTTACTTAATGTGCTGCAACAGTATTAATTTCTGTTATTTAATGACAATTTGTGAAGTTTTTCATGCCCAGCACAGGGCCCTTAGAACTTTGCACATAGTTTTGCATGTAATAAACATTCGGTGAAAGTTTTTTCAATAACTTATGAGTTACACAGATTTCATGGGCTATGCTGGAAATATAACTACAACTTATATAGTACTATTCCTCTGAGAATGGACTCCAAATTCAAAACACCTAACATCACTCCTCTGTAGACTAGGATGTCTGTCTAACATCTCAGGAACTAGAATTCTTCTTCCCGCCTTGTACTTACTGTCCTCATCAGATGCAAACTTTACCCTGTGAATGGTATATTTCACAGATAAACACCTATGGAGTGAATGATCACCACCAGACTCTCTCCATGATTCTCTGAGAATAACTTCACTTTAACATACTGAAAATTGGCCAGCTCTCTACTCCCAGATATTTCCCGACTCTTTAAACTATTCCCAAGGCACCATAGTCTACAGTAAAATTTCACACTCCCAATTTCCTTCCTCTGTGCCCTTGAATGCATTTCACCAGATCACTACTGTTAGTTTAAACCAGAGTGAGACACAAGGTTAATCTGGCCCCTCAGAACAAAATTTTTTAAAGTCCTTATTTTTAAATAAGCTGGCCTTACAAATCATAATAAAGGAGAATAAAGAGGGCTTTCTTTAGCCCTGAATAAGCAAACCACAGATTTGTTAAAGATTTAAAGGTGAGGTTATTTAATACTTCTTGAGGCAGATTTTTACCAAGTGCCTTTTACCATGACTACCCTACATACGTAAACTGGGGATCACTCCAACCACACAGGGTTGCTGTGAGCAGCATCACCCTTAGGCTCAGGAACTTTAAAGGGTCCCATGCTTTAGAGGCTGTGCCCCTCCCTAAGGGGCAGGGAGTTTGTGGGGGCAAGAGGGTATGTTCATATGCAACCCACGCTCCACGGTCTCCACCCCAGACTGACATTGGACTGCAGGATCCTCTGACAAAACGACTCAGAACCCTGTTCCAGAGCCTTCACAGGGTTGCATCCTCAGGCCCATTCTCCCGGGGTTGACAGTGCTGCCAAGCTAGTACATATCTCTAGGCCAAAGCGGTGGCCAAAAGATGGCTTTTTGCTGGAAGTGGAGAGAAGAGGTAGATGAGGTTGAATCTGAAGGCTAGGGTACCCCCAGGTATTCAAGGTACCTCATAGTTTGTAATGGAACTGGGGGTAGGAAGAAAGCAGCCGGCTCTTCCTGAACTACTAGGTCCCAGTGCAATGTCTAAGAAGTCTAAATTTGAACCTAATCTTCAGGTTGTTATGAAGGTATTTTGTCAAGGTAGGAGAATGGAACATATTTTACTTATTTAAGTTTATTGGCTTGACTTATAAATTAAACTATTCAGACTAATGGCGTGTGGGCTCCCATTTGTACTCTAGCTCTAGGGCTGGCAAATGTTAAGGATGGGCCTGGCTGTGAGGGCAAGAAGTGCATAGGGTTCGAGAAAGGTGAATTCCACACTCTCACCACCATCCATAGCCCTGCTCTTGCTGTTCCTTTGGCCTCCGCATCTCTGCATGTCACTCAAGGCCTACTTTCTGTGGTATGACATAACACGGGTTCTTGTCTCCTCCCCCTCTCTGCTCTCAGCCCCACTCCCTATCGGCTAGAATCAATCCCTCCCTCCTCGGAACTTGCACATAATTTTGTCTTAACCTCTTTTATAACAAAGAGTGACTTTTCATCTTATAGTAGCCATTTGTGTTCATTCCTTATCTAGCCAATTCACTCCTGGATAGCAAGATTTGTTTCTGAACTATCTTTGTTTCCTGCCACTACATATAGGTAGGTGCTCAGTAAATAATTTACTGAACATCACCAATCTGAAAAAAGGTGAATTTCTAAGTAACCAAAAAGACTACAATGAAACTCATTCATGCATTCACTTTTACCTCTTTTGAAAATACAAAATAAAACTCCATAGTAAGTAGTTAAGTCTATGGAACAAAAACAAATTTATTTGAATTGCAGTGACTTAACTTTTATCACATGCATAAAAGAGATCGAATGGTGTCATTCCGGGCAAGCATGGAGAAGTGGGAGGCACACACTTCTGGTTAGACTTAGCCAACGGAGCACCTCTAAAACTTCACTGGAGGCCAAGTGCTTCCAGGAACACCTCTCCAATGTACGTCATCATAGTGCCCGCAAGAGCAAGACTTTTAGAAAAGACCTCCTTTGATAAAATATTGTTTAACTCTAAATATGGTTACAGTTGCAGAATATTAGTAATTAATGAATTAAAAAATAGAATCTGACTATTTTAGAGCCTGGAATTTCCTTTGTCCCCATGCTTGGTGAGATAGTGAATCAGCCCTTATTACATGAGATGACATTAAGAGCCATCATCTTTTATGTTCCTATTCTAGTTTCCTAAATGTGTTGGGAAAAACAAGCCAATATTCTACCCAAAACCTCCTAAAACCTTCGCTCCTAACCCTTCTTTAAATCCATGGGATCCTATTAACTCTCTAAAAGAAGCCAATATACAAAGAAATCTCGAGAGGTCCCACTGGATCACTTCATACACTCATGATTTTACAGGTATGAGTTTACTTTACTACAAGTAAAAAGAAATTAGATATTTGATGAGTGCTGTCACAAGCTTTCATCTTATGATATTTTTCCCTGCTTCTTACTGAAGTACTAATAGCAATTAAGATGGGTGGTAAGTTTATCTTAGTGGGTAACTGGGAGATAAAGTTGGGTATCATTTTGTTGGTTCTAATTATATTAGAAAGTTTTTCATTTATGTGCCATTCTTCATTTAACAAAATTATAAGATATGATGTTTCCATTAAGGTCTGGGGCCCATGAACCCCCTTGAACTGGATGATTACCATGAAAAGGAGTTAGCAGACTTAACCGCACAGATAGGATTTGATCCAGAGCCCGTAAGTGATTGCAGTCGACTCTCACTTATTTGGGGGGAAAGTATCTAGGTGTTGGGCTTTTCTTGCTTTGCCCACTGCTTATCTGCTTCATGAGTATTGGTGACCAAGCTATAAAAGGGAAAATTTAACTCATTTTAGAAGTTATGTGAATGGATTTGTACTGGTTTGAATACTTTTCTCCACTATTTTGAAAAACAATCAAGGTTTCTTTTTCTCTTCACAATACAGTTGGATTTTTTTTTAACAGATTTTATACTGTTACTGTTGCTTAAATTTACAAAGGGAATGGTTTACAAAAGTTTACCTAGTAATTTAATGAGAGTCTTAAATTCTATGAATCTGTATATTTGTATATCTTGTACATTATCACTGCTTTTAAAGAAATAAAGGCTTTCTGATATCTACAATAATTGAGAATTGGCTGAATTACAATCAAAAGCCAATAAATGCTCTGTAAAAATCAATAGAGAGTTCTTAATTGATTATCTGAAATGGCCTGATAGAATGATCAAGCCCTTTAGTGATAAAAACTATAATTTATTAGTAGCTTATATAAATGAAATAAAATGACCGAATAGTATTTGTTTATTGTTTTATTTGGGACCTAAATTTTATCCTCTATATCTACAAAGTTTTGAAAACAAAATTAGTATTTTCTAAGATGTAAATTGTGGAAAGATACATAAAAAACAACTAAGCTATTTCAACATGAACTCTTTTTAGACTGAACACATGTATTTTATATTAGCTTCAGTAATTCCCAAAGCGATATAAAATCAGAACATCGGAAGTAGTTCCATAAACTGCTTTATCATTCACTGAAGGGTTTTTAATTTTATTTTTCACTTGCAACAAGCATTCTCTAAGGCTAGAAAAGATGATATGTATATGCTGACATTGTCGGGTGTGTTCAGCAACCGTCCAGATGTCCACAGATTTGACTCAGCAGGGTCCAGCTCCTCAGGAAGCAGCTTGATCATTTTCATAAAGAAAACATGTACAGTTATACAAAGGATGCTTGTATGCAAAATTATTTTGCAAGTAAATAAACACTTTAATTTTTATTAGTAACAAAATAAAATATGGCTAAAATAGTTGGAAGTTTAAAAGAAAGTTTTATTGAATCTTACTGGTTTCTTACTAAAGCAAAAATAAATGACTCTGGGAAGGTATATGTTAGTGGTAATATGTATATGAAATATTTGGTTGTAGTAGAATTAAAAAAAGGTACAAAAACCACTTGTCGCATAAAGGGATACTGTCAAAGTAGGATTTGATACACCCTATATTTTTTGTTTATGACAAATTTAACAAAGCATTTCAAAGAGCTGGGGTTTTTTTCTTTTTTTCATAGAATCTACTCAAACCTGGGTAGTAAAAGGCTGTAACGGATTAGTTAATAACAATATGGAAATTCCTCCAGCTGTGAACAAAGTAGGTTCCAAAAGGCCGTTCCTAAGTTCACTTTGTTTTTTAAGTCTGAACTTTCTCACCAGTCACATTTTTTATTATCTCCACTACCTATTCCATCATCATCATACATCTTTTCTTTTTTTAGTTTTTTTTCTTCAAGGTATTATAAAAAATTTCAAACACGCAGCAAAGTTTAAATAATTTTATAGTTAACATGCATATGCCATCACCTAGATTCTACCATTAGCATATTACTATACTTATTACATAATCCATCTTTCCATCCCTCCAACCATCCATCAGTACACATTTTTTATGCATTTCAGAATGAATTAAACACATTTGTATATTTCACCCCCCCTTAAACATTCAGCATGCTTATCATTAATCAGAGTTCAATTTGTTTGCAGTTTCTTCTTTTAAGGTAAATATACATTCAATGAAATTGCACAAATATTAAATGTACATTCAATGAGTTTGACAAATACACACACCTTTGTAACCCAAACTCCTATCAATAATATTGAAAATTAGCATCATCCCAGAGAGTTCCCTCATGATCCTCCTAAGTCAACTCCTCCCTTCTTCCTCCTGCCCCCACAGACACATACCTATCAATAACCCTTCAAATACACTTAGCACTTTTGCAGCTACAGACATGACTAGTTCACAATAATTAGAAAAACATCTTAAAAAACAAGCATAGAAATGGCAGTGTTTCTCCAAGCATAGCACATCACTAGCCTCAGCATCACCTGAGATGCGTGGTCAAAAAAGCATTTTCTGAGCCCCACTGCAGACCTTCTGAATCACAGTCTCAGAGGATCAAGTTCAGGAATCTCAGCTCATCCTGATTCAGCCAAGGTTTGAGAACCCTTGCCTTGGCCTAATAAAGAAAGCTTTGGCTGAGATTTACATAACTGCACATAACTGTTATCATCTATTAGTGATAGGCAGAAGTTTGTTCCGGTGATCCTTTTCTATCCTTGAGAGTTTGAAAGCAAAGAGTTCCTATACAGAGAAATCTCTCTATAGCCAAGTAAAAATATGTCCTTTTCGTATTAGTAAAAATTGGTAGAGAAGGAAAATGTGTTTATTAAGGATCCCAATTTTAATGTCTTTAAACATAAAAGAACAGTGGACTGTGTTTTCCTACACCCATCCTGTGTCCAAACAGTGAAAATGGGTGTGACTTTTGACCTGCCATTTGTGGCAATATCCTCACAATGCCAGGTTTATTAATTTATCAATTTTCTCCTTTTTATTCCACCACTACAGCAAGAAAAATTCCACTCTGTCTTTAAACCCTCCAGACCCTTTGAAGGACGAATCGCCCGACTGATTCAGAATCGACGTCCTCTGGAGGCTACTATCCAGCAAAGACCGCCTTCATGTCCAGATTGTACCCCTAGAGTTTTGTGTAATTTTCATACCTTTGTACCCAGTTCTACAGAAATGATGGCACTTAACGATAACACACCAGCGGATATAACCCGTAAATGCCAGGAAATCGAAGACAAGATTAAGGAAGAACAAAGCTTATTATCTACCTATGCACACTCACCTTGTTATCCAACTAAAGATCTGACTAACATTTATGACATAAAACCATTTCCAAAAATTACAGATACTAAAAAAACAGAAGATTTGTACTGGAGACAGTTATCATTAAAACCCCAACCTACACCTTACTGCAACCCAAGCAATTACATTCGATATGAACATTTTAAATCTGCCTTACATGACCAGTATGCTACGTGTCAAACCCCTGGTAGCCTTAGTAAGCCTAGTATTTTACAAAATAAATCAGACTTAGATCTCAATCTAGAACGTCTTTTAAGTAAGCCAGAAGAACATTTGACCTTGAACACTGAAAACGATGAAGAAACAAAATCTCTCCTGGGTTGGATTCCTACCGCTGGAGTGGCCAAGCCTCAAACTGACCTCCTGGAGCTTAAGAACTCTTTTTCAAAAACTGGTACACAAAAACGTTTCCATAAATCAATTCTAGAAGACCACAAAGACCTCAGGGATAAGGGGCATTCAGGAATGAAACACCAATTCTTTGGCCATAATTCCTATTATTTCTATAATTGAGATAGTCATCCTTCCCCTCAAAACCCAGCCTCTTACAAGAAAAGAAAAAAAATATTACACACTTCTTCCTTGTTGCTAGACTCTGTTTTGTAAAGGAGCCACAATGACCTTAATTTAAGTTAGAATTTAAGTCAGAATCTGGTCAGAGGAACCCAGAAAAGGTGATGTTCTGACTTCTTGAGAAGTTTTAACAGTTCGGCAATAAAATATTAGAACCAGAAAAATTTATAGTCTTTAATCTCATTTTCAAATTATATTCCAAGAAATTTTCCAAAATCATGAAACAATGTGTATGACAAAGTTTACATTATTGTTTAAAAAAAATGAACATTTGAAAAAATTCAAATGCCCAATAATTGACAGATCTATACAAACTATAGTAACTTAATAAAATAAATATGTGAACACTGTCATACTGTCATTTTATGTAAATGTTTGTACAAAATAATATTAGGTACAAAAGACAAAACTTAAATGTCCAATTAACTGAGGGATGGACAACTCTACAAACTACATTACCTTAATAAAATAAATATGTCGGCCTTGTTCCTTTATGTAAATGTGTAAACAAAAGTCAGTGGAAAAGATAAAATCTAAAATGCTCTGCATGCATGCATTCTAAGCTGGATGTTTCTTTTCTTTGAACAGTTTATGGTGGAGAAATATAACCATTTCTTTTATGCAGGGAAAAAATGATTATATTTCGAAGATCTGGCAATGGCTTTAATTAGTAACTGCTGAATTCTAATTGTGGCAAGAAAGGATGGTGTCTTAATCCACTTGGCCTGCTGTAACAAAATACCACATACTAGGTAGCTTATAAACAACAAACTTTTATTCTCACAGTTCTGAAGGCTTGGAAGTCCAAGGTCATGGTGCCAGCAGATCCAGTGCCTGGCGAGAGGCTGCTTCCTCATGGACGGCCATCTTCTCATTGTCACCTCACACGGCGGAAGGGGCCTGGGATCTCTCTGAGGCCTCTTTTTAATGAAGGGCTCAACCTTCATGAACTAATCACCACCCAAAGGCACCACTTTCCAAAATAACTTTGGGGGTTAGGATTTCAACATATGAATTCTAGGGGACACAAACATTTAGACCATAGCAGATGGCCCAATATCAATTATTGTAAAGCCAAATGTCATCATTTTTGGAAGGTGTCCACAAGAGTTTAGCTAACCCCAGATGCAGGTCAACTCAATTAATGTTCTAAGAGGTACACTGTAGATACAGTTTATCATGGAAAGTTCATAGGAATTTCTAAGAGGGTTGTGCTGATATTCTAATCTTTGTTTCATGAGCAACATGTCATTTGGTTACACCTTCTTTAAAACTATTCTGGACTAAAATTATGGAATTTTTTCCAAACTATTCTATAGCACAAGTTTATTCGGTAATACAGGATGCAAAAAGTTACATGGTAAAATAATATCGGAGAAAAGTGGAGATAACAAAGCCAATCACATGACTTAATCACAGAATTTTCCATAGCCTTTAATATGTACCATATTTGAGGATGTCCAAGGTGAAGGGGATATAGTATACACATTTCTCAAACTAATTTGATCTTAGAACATATCATAGGACTACAATTACAAAGAACAAACTTTGGAAGATGCAACTGCCATACAGAAATTGGGGTTTTTGACTGTACTTTCCCCCCTGGGTTGCAGAGATGCAGAACTGCATTCTGACTATGGGTATTTACTCCACCCACCTCTATGTAGCAGTAGTGCAGTCTTCTCTTCAGACATCTCGGTCATCATCCTCAATTCTCATAAGAAGATGTCAAGCCCTAGTCCTAAATCTGTTGGTGGTTAAGGCTAATCCATTTGGCCTTATTAGGTGACAGAATACCTATACTCCACGGATGCTCATCACAAGCTCAACTTCAAAAAATATTTATGGAGGCTTCCAGATTAAGATAGAATGAATCCATGCATCTAATTTCACGTACTCTAAAAAACCTATTACAACTTCGGTAGAGTTTTGGTTTTGTTTTTTATTGGATTTTCACCCTCTTAAAAGGATCATTTGTACAGCAAAAGGTTGAAGTTTTGGTGAAGGCAAATTTATTGACTAGTCAGGTCAATACGGGGAACAGGAGCTGAGACATTAGGAACATTTTGTAAAGGAGATGGATAAAAGATGAGTCCTAACTAGCTAAAGATAATAGAACCCTACACTGGCAGTGGGGAAAATAGCCAGATTTACACATCAGAATCCTCAAAAGGCTCAGGGTCTGGGAGCAAAGATGGGGTTGAGTGGGGGTGGGAGTAGCTAAAAGCAAGGAAAATTGAGTGAAAGCTAAGACACACTTGCTTCCCTAGATCCTATCACCTGTCCCACCACGCCCCATTCCACATTGTTAGGCAACTCCCCATCCCCCCACCCCCCACCCCCACAGAAGTCCTGAGGATTATTTTCCAAAGAAAGGTAAAACAGAGGATTTCTGGCATGCAGAACATCAGGCATAGCTGAGGGCTGGGTACTGTTCTGAAAACAGAGGGGATAAGTACTTGTATCAATCAGGGTCCCAGCAAGAAACAGACATTCAAAGGATTTCATTGAGGATAGTTTAGTGAAGAGACCATTTACAAAGATGTGGTCAGGGTTACAGGAATCTCCAATAGTGGGGTATCCAGGAACTAGCAATAACAAGGAGCCTTACCGCTCCCAACCCTCCAGGAAAGGGAAGGGCCCAGTGTCACAGTGCCTCCCACCAGTGAACCCAACCAGAAGCCAGAGAGCAAGGGGGCTCAGGTGATGCAGTCCGTAGATACTCTTGTCCTAAGACCAAAAAAAAAAAAAAAAAAACGTGGCAAATGGACCTAGATAGGCAAGAAGAGGATAATCAGTAGGGTGATTTTATAAATACTGAGTCTCCAGCTGAGGAGTGCAACTCCCTTCCCAACTGTGCTACCAGAAAGCTGACAAATATGGACTCTCCCAGAGTTTCCAGCTGAGGCTGAACAAGGCAACATCCTGCCTTCTTGTTTCAACTTTCACACTGTAAAAGTGTCCCTTCTAGGGTCTATGTCATGCCACGTTTTTCACATTTTTGCTGAACAAGGCAACATCCTGCCTTCTTGTTTCAACTGTCACACTGTAAACAAAGTGTCCCTTCCAGGGTCTATGTCATGCCACGTTTTTCACATTTTTATGTCTTTGTCAGTGATTTTGCTGTTTAAAATGACCCCCAAAGGCAGTGCTGAAGGGCTAGTGTTCCCAGGTACAAGAAGTCTGTGATGCACCTTAAAGAGAAAATGTTTGTTAGATTTGCTTCATTCAGGCATAAATGCTTAGACTTGACACCAAAATGTGATCAACAAAAGAAAAAAAATGATAAATGCCTTCACCAAAACTTCAACCTTTTGTTGTGCAAATGATCCTGTTAGAGGATGAAAAGCTATACTACATACTGGGAGAAAATATTTTGCAGACCACATATCTAACAAAGAAAGAACTAACGTCTAGAATGCTTAAACAACTCAAAATTCAACAGTAAAATAACAGTCCAATTAGAAAACGGGCAAAAGATATTAACAAATATTTCACCAGAGAGGATATACATATGGCCAATACGCACAATACAAGGTGTTCAACATCATTTGCTATTAGGAGAATGCAAATTAAAACCACAGTGAGTATCCCAAATCTTCTACCAAGCCTTTCACAACAGGATCCAAGGAATAACTATGCACTGCAGAAAGGGAAATACCTATTCATTTCAAGATTATTAAGCATTGGTTCTTAGCTAACCCTAACCCTCTGGGACCCACACGACCACCATGATCCACCAGTCAGTAGAGAGAGGCTTAGCAGGTTTCACCTGAGTTTGCCTCTTGGTGGAACAAACAGGAACACAGCCATGCTGTGCTTACTCCCTGAGTTCAAGTGTGTCATTAGAACAGATAATTCAGCAACCGGCAGAATCCTGCTTTGGCTCCCTAACCCACAAAGTAAAGGCATACAGAGTATCTGAGCACCTCTTCCCCCAAAAATGAAATCAATACCACATCTTGAGGAAGGGGGTGAAGAGAATACACAGGTATTAGTGCCACCACTGAGGACTTGAAAAATCCAGGGGTAATTATTCCTGTCACATCCCATTTAAATTACCTATTCGATCTATTCACAAGATAAATGGCTTTGGGAAAATGAGAATATATTTTAAATTTAATAAGGTGACGACGCTAATTGAAACAGCTATTCTATATGTAATAAGAGTATTTTTTTTTCTGTCCTCTGGAAGAATTTATTAAAATTACTTCGGTTATTTCTTTCTTAAATATTTACTATAAATTATCCTTGGAGCCATCTGGGCCTAAGGTTTTCTCTGTGGAAAGGCTTTAAATTATGGATTCATTTCTTTAACAGTTATAGTACTATTCAAGTTTACTCTTTATTCCCATTTTGATAAATTGTATTTTTCAAGGAAATTTCTATTTGATCTAAATTTTCCATAAAATATTTATTATCTTTACAAGATTTGTCATTTTCATATGGATTTTTAGTGCCTTTTTTCTTGATCGTTCTTACCAGATGTTTATCTCTTGTAATTAGTCCATTCTCTCACTTTCAAATCTTTTGTAGATCTTATGTTTTAGATGTATTTTTTGTAAAGAACAATATTTTAGTTTTTGAAAAATCCAATTTAATAATATTTGATAACTACAGAATTTGGTTCACTTACTGTAATAACTGATCTATTTGGGTTTTAATTTTTTAAATTTTTTTCTTTGTTTATTTTGCCCTCCTTTTTCTTTCCTTTAAAAAAAATTAATTGCTATTCTATTTTTTCATTACTTTGAAAAATATACACAACTTTTCTATTATTAGTTTCCCAAGAATCTAAAATATACCCTCTTCTTGGTTAGCACAAGGATATTTAGAATATTTTAATACTACTTTTCTACTGACTTACATGCTATTGTTGTCATGTATATATTTCATTTACTTTATGTACAGCTATAACACATAGCATGTGTCTCTCTCTATATATATATATACATATAATATACACACACAGACACATGCATGTATATGGCTTAGTTTGCTTGTCCTTAAGCTTTATAAAGAGCTTATCATATTAAATGTAGTTTATTTCGACAAATATAATTTTCATTTCTAGAAGTTATCTTTAGCTCTTGTTAAAATCTGCTTGGTAGACAACAATCAGACTTCAAAAGGCTGAATTTGCAAGGTGCTGCTAAGCTTGGTCTTTTACAGACTTGGATAATTAGCCGAACAAGCCTACTTCAGGACACCTAAATGCTCATTATCTTGGTCCCTTCCAAAAGCCACAAAAGGTCTTAATAAGTGCTGCAAAACAGCATTCTTCTGTGGCAGTGGTGTGTGAGATTAGAGAGAGAGGAACTGGAAGTCAGGACACAGAAAATAAAAATAATCCAGTCATACAGGAAATTGGGTGATCTAGAGCAGAAATCATAGGACCAGTGGTTTGTAAGAGATCCAAGGTATCTAGGTTAATCTCATCTATTTCTGAAACTGAAGACGGGCGAAAGGTTCCTAGAATGTAAGCTCCATCAGAAAAAAAAAAAAAAAGTCCTCATCGATTTACTCTAGGTACATAACATGCGTTTAATAAACACTGGACTGAATGAATAAGCAGAGCTAGACAGACTGTGAAAAAGAAGGAAAAAAATCATTAAAACTCAGAGGTTGAATTTGAGGGACAAGGAAGTCAAGAAGAAACTTCCCATTGACAAATTTGAGCATGTGAGAAAGGCAAACTAGTTCTGGAGAAAAAGTAAGTAAGCTAATATAGTTGAAATTATGTTAGGAATGCAGGTTTGATCACCATAGCTGGAAGCTGTGGTGATCAAACCTGCATTCCTAACATAATTTCAACTATATTAGCTTACCTTCACCCAGGTTAGATGGTATGAAAATCTTCTCTAGATTTCCAAGAATTCTCTAACCATGTAACCATGTTGCCTTACACACCCTCCTCGTTCTTTCTGCACACAAACACGAGAGACCGACCGGTCTTGGCAGAAAAGAAGCCGGCAGGTGAGTGTCCAGAGCTATAATCCAGCCTCAGCCGCACCTGCAGCACCTCCCCAGTCCTGGGTCATCCATCAAGGGGAGAACTGAAAGATGACTGAAAATAACTGGGGAGGCGGAACAAGAACAAGATCAGGAGCACGTGTCCAATTCTTTATAACTCCTGGTTCCAGGTCATCCCTCCAGCTGTGTAAGTATAATTGTGTACATTTGTGTAAAGATCGCCAGCTGAAAGGAAGGTAGCCAGAAGGCCAGGTGCGTCAAAACTGGGCCGTCCCCCTTCGGGGAGGCAAAACTCCTCCCTCAAAGACAACACGTCATCGAGCACAAGAGCAGTTACCTTAGCAGGATAACGCCCTGATCCGGACTCCGCTCCACCCTCCACGTTGGAGCACGCACGCACACAAAGGCCGGAGGGTGATGTCATCCCCTCCCAGCACCACCTCGGTGTCGTACGTCAAGTGGCCTGTCGTAACTGCCGGGCAAGCGAGGCTTCGAGAGGAAGGGCACGAGTGCAGTACACCCTACCCTGCTAGCCGGCATGCGCGAGCAGGTGGCTGACGCGGGGCCTGAAGACGAGAGCCAATGAGGTGCGGCGACGTCACTGCGTAGCGGTCGGCCCGGCCTCACGTCGGGCCGTAAGAAGGCGGAGCGAGTTCGGTTGCACCAACACCGGTACATAGATGCGGACCGGCTTGTCCTTGGACTTAGAGAGCGGGACGACTGGTTTGCGAGCGTGAGTCTCAGTATCGCGCGCGACGAAAGAGCGGTGAGCGCAGGGCGCGGAGCACGTAGGGGGCGGAAGGCCTATCCGTGGGGGCGCGCGGGCGGTCGGAGGCCTGCGCCGGGGATCTCGGAGCGGAGTCCTCGCGGGCAGGCGGGCAGGGCAGCGGGTTACGACCCCAGACTGTGGCCAGCCCGAACCCGCTAGGTTACAGCTTGAGCTGGTGTGAAACCTCAAGCAGCTAGGTAGACGCGAGGACTTGGTCAACGCCCTGAAAGCCCGGAGGCGGCTTGGATACGGATCCGGCTGCGGATCCGTCGTCGGGGCTGAGGGGCTGTGGAAATGATAAGATTTTCCGGTTTCCGGGGCTGCGAGTGGGAGTGGGAGGACGGGGCGCAACGCTTCACACCCTCCCTCAAGTCTCTTCCGCCAGTCAATTGATCAGGCATCTCAGGAAGATAGGTTTCATCACGGTATTCTTGAAACTGGCCTAGATGGGTGACCTCGTGGTCGCCCCGGGGATCACAGAGCTGGAGAACAGGGGTCCCTGGGAAACCTCGCGGCCCGCCGCTGACCTCTTCCTCACAGCAGGGCAGTTTAGAATGACCTGAGCAGGCAGAATCAACCGTGACCTCTCTTTCTAATGTGGTTTGATTCATCCTTACAGAGCGACGGCTTTAAATTGTAGTACGAATAAAAAATTAAGCATTCTTAGTTGGAATTCTGGTTTAATGTAGTCACCTTTAAACCTGATCAGATTTGTTACTTGTGACCTTGACACCTCATCTTTTGAAATAGTTTTGAACCAGGTTCCCATTTGCTTACTTGGGCTTTAACCTTCCCTCATTTAAAATACAGATGTGTTTTTAAGGAAGTTCTCCTTCCAAATAGTTTTTTTGTTGTTGATGTTTGTGTGTTTGTTTGTTTTTGGTATTAGACAGCCTTTTTCAAGTGCACTAAGTAAAACAAGATCTACCGTGGTACTTAATGTCATAGATTTGCAGTGGATTAGTAATTATTATTGATTGGTTTCTACTGTATTTTTACTTGGAAGAAAATAAATTGAGTTTTTCATTTTTAGGTTTAAAAATGGGTGATGTTGAGAAGGGCAAGAAGATTTTTGTTCAGAAGTGTGCCCAGTGCCATACTGTGGAAAAAGGAGGCAAGCACAAGACTGGGCCAAATCTCCATGGTCTGTTTGGGCGAAAGACAGGTCAGGCCCCTGGATTTTCTTACACGGATGCCAACAAGAACAAAGGTAAGAGGGAGGAAGTTAAAGTAACCGAAGCACCAAATGCATGGAAGTAACCTATGCTACACCCTTTATCAGGAGTGTAAAATACTGACCAATACCTCTCTCCTTGTTTAGGCATCACCTGGGGAGAGGAGACACTGATGGAGTATTTGGAGAATCCCAAGAAGTACATCCCTGGAACAAAAATGATCTTTGCTGGCATTAAGAAGTCTGGAGAAAGGGCAGACTTGATAGCTTATCTCAAAAAAGCTACCAAGGAGTAATAGTTGGCCACTGCCTTATTTATTACAAAATAGAAATGTTTCATGACTTTTTTTTTTTATGTGTACCATATTTAAATTGATCTCATATACCAGAATTCAGATCATGAATGGCTGATAGAACATTTCTTTAGGGCAGTCCTGATTTAAATAAGATTGGCTTGTGGTTAAATGAATACGGTCAGTTTTTTTAATTCTGAAGGTACTTTTGGTTCCGTGAGTGCTATCCTTGTTTTCCCCTTCTAAAGCTGTGATAGGACATAATTAGTAATGCTCAGTTTTTCACAGAAATAGTGAATGCCATCTGAAAACCTGTAGGAGATTGGTTTTACATTTAGATTTATGTAACTGGTTATATTAATATGTTTAAATGCTGAGGATATCCCTTAGCTGTCTCATGGAACAGCAAGACTTGGTTGTGTTTCAGGTTGTGTTCTTTGGCCTGTTAAAAAGGAAAGGGCAGAAGATAAGGTGGCAATGTCTGCTTTATCTTTTTGGTCCTATCTATGCCAATTTAATTAAATTCCCTGTATCTAAACTGTTGCCTTTTACTTAAAGGCATTTTAGTGTGGTTTATATACATTATCAAATAAAGAGTATTTAACACTTCTCATATTTTATAGATGATATATAAGGTCAGATGTTTTTAAAATTCAGATGATAGGATATAGTAGCAAACTTTGTGAATTCTTTACTAAGTCAGACAGTTATTCAGGACTATCTTAACTGTTCAAAAACAACTGTAGAATGCTGTATACTTATGGTTGGTAATGGTGCTTTTGCTATCCCACTGGAAGGATTAAAGGATAGATTATCAGCACAAAATTGTAAATTGCGTGATTATAAGGCTTAAGATAATTAAAAACAAAATCACATTATGATTTTTCTAATGTGCTTGATTTAATGATTGATGTCGGTGTTTTCATGGTCGAAAAGTACAGTATTGAATAGTGAAGCAGCAGAGTTACTTGTCATACTACTGGATTGTTTACTTGAGCTTTTAGGACAACACTTAGTCATTAGAGTTCCTTTGCCCAGTGTGTGAGCACTACAACCTTACACAGATAGAACAACGTGTTTCTGGCCATTGTTTTGTGGTATATAACAGTGTATTATTTGTGTACTAAATTATTTTCTCCAGTTTATACCATACTTTTAGAGTAGCCCCTAGGAATTTTATGGAGATGGTGAGAGAAATTAAGTCCTAGTGTGGGTGTTAATGATAGGGAATTAAAAAATGCATCCTGGTAAAAGCCTTTGTAACAGGACTTGATACCTGCATAAATTAGTGATATTCAGAGTCAGTGTTGCATTTTAGTTTCTAAGAGAATTCTGGACCCCTGTGGAAAAACATGGAGTCCAGGGAGTTAATCTATTTCTCTGCCACTTACATCAACTAAGACATATGTTGGCAGAGATAATTGCTGAGTACCTGCTGCGTTCTAGGCCAGTTAATACTCAGTGTCTCTGGTTATTTATAACGTAAGTGATCCTAATAGTTAACTTAAAAGAAGGGCCATTCCCACCTGTAAGGGCTATCTGCTCTTAGAAATAAATGAAGACAAAAAGTTAGCACATATCACCTATATGTGCTCATTCCTAGTGCTTCATTATAGGTGACTTGGTGAGTAGTATCAAAAGTGAGAGCCAGATGTATTTAAGGTGTGTTTCTTTAAGGTGTCGCCTGCATTCTGGATTTTGTCTAGAAGGGCACTAGTAGAACTTTGTGTGAAGATGGATTGGACTTGTGTTCAGTAGCCTAGCCACTATTATCTCCTTGAAATATGGCAAGCGTCACTACAGAACTTTAATTTTATTTAGTTGATTTCAGTTTGTGTAACACAAGAAGCTAGTGGCTAGTGTGTTGATAGCACATGTCTGGAACTAGAGCCAGTGGTCTATAACAAAAGTGCTTGCCCTTGGCTTTCTATTTTCTTATTCTAGGATTCTTGCAGATACACTATAGTGCCCTTGAGAACACTGATTCCAGTTCCTGTTTCTAAATCCGATGTGCTCACCTCTGTTTTTACCATGTTTTGCTTAGTCCGTTAATAAGTTTGCAATTGATGTTCGGTGGCTGGCATTCTGGTAGGAATATACCTATTCGTCTTCCTTTTCCTGCAATTTTCTCCAGTTTCTTTATAGATGTTTTTGCTTTTTAACCACTGAAGATTGTTGTAAATTGAAAAGGCTGTGATGGAATTCACAGGCTGTTATATTAGTTAGGCTCAGACAAGAGTAAACCAAAACTAATTTACATACAATGGCGAGTATTCATTTCTATTGATGGGGTCTTTTGGCTCCCTTCATTTTAGTACTTTGAAAGCTAAGATGTTGCTCTCACCTAAGAATACCAGGTGCTGTAGGCGTAAAAAAAAAAAAAATGTTGCTTAGCATGGAATAAGAGTAGCTAATTAATGTATTGTTTATACAGGCAGGGCTGATGCCTGACAGCATATGAATACACCTCTAAAGAGACTGGGAGGTTTTGTCTCCCAGATGGCACTCCTCTAGGCAATGCTGGGGCTTACTTAACTAATTTGGCTACATTTTTTTGTGCCCCAGACCATCGTCCTGGAGTTCAGGTAGAGTATAATAAAACTATTAGGTTTCTACTTCCTTAGGAACAGGTGGATTTCAGATTACCTCAATTGGAGTTTGGTATTTGAAAACTGGTCATAACCTCAGGCTGCTGTTTTGGTTCACTCAGAAAGCTAAAAAGGTTTACTATGTTTATTAGTTTAATTCCCAAAGGTTAAATCTATGTCCAGGTTCTCAGGAGGAATTTCACTGGTAGTCTCCCTACATAATCACTAGCAAACTGTCGCTTTCCATCCATAGAAATACACAATGGCGAGAAGACCTGTGTATGGTAATTGATACATCATTGACAGTTTTTAGAAATGGCAGGATAGACTAACTTGCTAGAGCTTTGGTAAAATGAGATATTTTAATCAACATAGAGAAGTCCTAGAATGTTGGAACTGGAAGAGATCTTAGCAATTTTCACGATCCAGCTGTGCTTTTATACAGATGAGAGGTGAAATTAACCTGACTTAGGCTCAAAACTATGGGAACCACTCTACTGGGCTGGGCCACTAACAGGACCTAGTGGTCCAACCTAACATCACTGGGAGGAGGTGAACAGGAATACAGACACCTCGGTTTGGAGAGGGATTGATTTAGCCTAGTCCCATAAAACTCCTATCTTAGCAAGTGAAGCCTTCCTCTTGAGGGTCCAAGGTTAGCAGTGATCAGGTAATCAGGAGCCAAGCACCCTGGGGTGGAGCATAGCCCATACTCCTGGGGTGTTGCTTCCTTCCCCCATGTTGCAAGAAGCCCTCCTGCCTGGTATCTTGTTCTTTGGAGGATGCTGGGCCCAAAGTGGCCAGTCAAGTGTTCTTGCCCCACTGACCCGGTTACAGGCCCCTCAGTTGGCGGAAAGCCATGCCCCTCATTTTCCATCCCTCTGGATTTGTTGCCATTTTGGACTCAACACCTGCCAATAAAAATTGTCTACATTGAAAAAAGAAATGTAGTTTTTGAGCAACATAGCTGGAATGACAACCAAAATACCTATTTAGTCTTAGTCTAAACCCCCTTTTCCCAGACATTAATGAGCTTCCTTTCTCTATTTTTTCTTTATTTATTAGAAACGCAGCTGTGTTCCACATTGGTGCTATTAAATTATGTGTCTGTAGCTTAAAGTGTACTTTGAAAAAGGACCAGTGGACTTAACTGGTGTAAAGCAAAGAATGCTGGGTTTGAAATTAGAAAAATCATGTTTAGGGGTTGGTAGACGGCTTGTGGGCCCAAGCTCATCTGGCACCCGTTTTGGTAACAAACTGTGGGAACACAGCCACATTCATTTATGTCATCGAGGGCTGCTGTCTTGCTACATACAACATCAGAGCTGGTTCCAACGGACTGTGTGGCCCACGAAGCCTAACATACTGACTGGCACTTTACAGAAAAAGTTTCTTAACCTTCAGTTTACAGTAGGGCTTTACAGTCTCATTTTTGCCATTTGGGGACTAGAAATAAACAATCTACCTCACAAGATTGCTGCTGAGCATTTGTTGAATGATATCTGTGAAAGCTCTTAACTGGTAAGCACTGAAATACTTGTTCATTTCCTATCCATGTCAAATTCCTTGAAAATCACATGAAAAATGTTTGCAGCGACCTAGTACTTCTAGTTTTTTTTTATTTCAGTTGTCTCTGATGGTTCTGTAGGACATTTGACACCCTTGACTGGTATTTTCTTACCTCCCTCACTTTAAGGTACTCACATGGAATAAAACACATTGGCATCATGATAACCATGCACGCAGAGCCATAACCACCTGTTGCTAACCCAAATACGTACATACTTCAGCATGATGTTTTGCCCGAATTCTAGCCCCATAACTCAAATTGCTTTATAGTTATAAGGTGCATTCACATCTTAATTCATCCTCACCACCTCGTAAGATATGGAACAGGTACAGTAAGTCCTTTGTCCGTTGGTTCTGCAACTTGAGCAAAATGACATACGGTGGAATTAATTTTACCATAGGCTACTTGATAGAAATGAGTTAAGTTCCTACGATATCAGCGTTACAACAGTCATTTGAGGACCTATGCGTTGTCCCTATTTTATACCTAAGAGTCTCAGCTTGTTACAGCCAAAGGTCACAGGGCATGACCTTGGTAGTACCTTTCCTGACACTACCTTTCCGTGGTGCCTTCTAAAACATAAGCTGGGTTGCCTCTAGTAGCCTCTTTACAGAGCTCACACTTTCCTTACAGGAGTCTGGTCTTTCTCCAGACTCCTCTGCAGCCCTCACAAGTGGAGCCTGCTTGTTCTTCCACACTGTCCCCAGCAGTGGCCTTGTGAACTTGGCATCTTCCAGATCATTACTCTTCCTTTCACAGGCAGAACTAACTACCTTTGTGAGATTGGTGACATCTTCATGGGCCCTTTGCTGTTGTCTACTTCTGGACCTCAATTGCGTTCACTGAGAACTTTGGCGCCTAGCTTATATGCTTTTATATACTTTTCCTTCTGACTTTTTTTTTTTAATTTTATTTTTTAAATTATACCGGTAATAGCAATATGCAGGTGAGCGAATGACACATCTTTGATGCCACTGTGGCCACAGACTTTTTACTTGATTTTAACCCTTCTCGGCACTTCTTCCCCATGGTTGCAATAGACTTGTCATTTCTCCAGAACCTCCCACCTCTGAACTTAGAAATCCCACTGTAGCAATCTGATCACGGCTTCGTGTCACTCCATGTCTCATTTCTTTTCTATCACTGATTCAGCTGAACCAGCAGAAACCCTGTATAACTGTCCTTGTAAGTACCCTTTCTCTCCCAGCATTCCCTGTGGTTAATTTAGAAGTTCACACTCAAGCTTATCTCATCCCTGTCCCCTGTTCTCACAGCAGGTGGCCTTCCCTCCCCTTTCAGATATGAGTTCTCCACTTCCGAAGTTTTCGTTGTTCACCATCCTCTACCTTCAACAGTGTTCTTAACTTCAAATATGGTTCAGAGTGTTCAGTTACATCACACATTAGCTCCAGATGGCACGTAGGCTACAGCGTGGTCAACCTGACACCCATCACCAACCCCTTTGTTCTCTGCCTCCCTCTCCCATCAAAACTGGGAGAGCTAAATGCTTTCATTTCAGTGTAGGAACTTCAACTTGGATCTGCAACAGAACAAATACATTGTGTAAGTTCTATAAATTAGATCTTTTTTTATTCGATTTAAGTTTAATGACATTGTAACTGTCCCTGAATTGGGCAGGGGCAATACCTCTGGACTAAGATGATTGATCTTTCCAGTTTAGGGACAATAGGGTAAATCTATAGATAATTTTCTTAGTCACCTG